ACCAATATTTGTTAGGTCACCTCTGCATTCTTTAATCCAAAAAGTATGACCTTATAACAGTAAAACCTTTTCTTAGTAATAAAGGTTATTTTATTCTTGTCCTCTTGTAACATTATGATCTAATTGTAGCTAAAATAGGCATCCATGAAGCTGAAAAAGCCATGCTCACATTATCATCTACTAGTCAATTTATGCTAGGAAGAAGAAAGCTATCTTTTAGGCAAACTTTATTCAGGTCAGTAAAATCCACACACATCATTCATTTTTCATTATGTTTTTTTACTATAATCATGTTGGCTATCCATTCAGGATAATAAACCTCCCTAATAAAGTCAACTCACAATAACTTTTCAACTCTTTCCTCAATGGCCTATTATCTTTTTGGGGGTAAGAGTTTTTTCTTTTAATGAACTTATTTTACCTCAGGATTAGTATATAGTATGTATACCATCACTGTGATATCAATTTCAGGCATATTGGATGATGTCCAAGCAAATAGGTTAGCATTATCTTTTATAAGTTGAATAAATTGGTCTTAATGTTAAAGCTTGGCTCAGATCTACATGTATTTTTAAGAAATGTTGTTCCAGAATGGGATTGTCATGAAATCTTCAACCAGTTCGAGTCAGTTTGCATCCAAGTTTAGTTTTTTATTAATTATCTCTTTTTGTTCAATTAAGTTAGGATCATTTCTTGCGAAAATAGATCCTAGAGTGATAATTAGTATATTAAAGAACTTATTAAACATATCAATAAAAGTAAAGTATATTCTTCATTTCATGTTGTATTTTAGCTAGCATGTTAGCTCAGTCTAAGTAACATCAAACTATTTGCATTGATTTAAGAGCTTGATTGTTTCTATTATTGTCTTAAAATTTTCAAAAAATGGAATAAAATTAAACTTTTTCAATCTCGAAAGCTTAGAAAGACTTAAAAGCATGTTTCTCCCAGGTTAATCTTACATTCTATGCTTTTGTTAGTGATTTCTTACTTCTTATTGGTTCTTTGTGTTGGCTCTCATTTGCTTTCAACCTCGATATCGGTTAAGCTACCTCTCTGCTTTCTAGTCTTACTTTTCATTTTTGTGAAGTAATATTGTCATGCCATAGACTAGTCTTTTTGAACTTTTTTAACCTCTCTAGATGTTGAAATTTTCACTTTCAAATAGGGAGCTAAACTTATAAGCTACATAACAGATTGACTAAGTTGGCCAATATCATGTTATAGATAAATGAAACATCCACTACCATGAATTCTATGATTGAGATAATTGTCTTTGATTCAGTCTTTAAGGAGTTGGGAGCTTAATAGTTCTTCTTATAGGCACTTGCTTATTTCTAAACCCCACTAATGTAATAATGATCGATTTCAATTGATTTTCACTAATCTTTATTTTTTTCAAACAGTTGTAGTATATGATGCTGATCAAACTCCTATTGTCCAATAGGATTTTTTTGATCACCTAGCTATACACCAAGGTTGTGATCACTATGGCATCATCCTATCGGTGTTGGATTCCCTCTAGATCTTTTGAGCTAAATGAGATCGGCTCATTTTTCCAGTCTTTTTTTTTTTAGTTTAGGTGTCTACTGCCATTATCATGCTCGGGTTAAACTTCTTTTTTCACCAAGGTGGAGCTACCTTCTGTGATCACGTTAATCACCCCGACAATTGGCTTGCTATTATTAATTCAACCTTTTTCTTGATTCAACTTTTCTCTTCAACCATCATTTCTTCTCTACTTTACTCTATTCTTCCTTTTTTACCCCAGATAGGCATTCTATGGTCTTATCTATAGTCCATTCTAGGTCACTTTTATCTTCTTTATCCCATAAATCTTCTCAATTGACCTCGTCTTATCAAAGCTTCAATCTTTTTTTTAGGTCGACACAATCTTCGGTATTATGATCAATGTCCTTGTAAAAGGCATATTTTTTTGTCGAATCCCTCTTTGTATTTTGTCTCATCTAAGGTCGAGATTTCTTTCAATTTACATCAGAATCTTCTCACGATAGGTATTCAGTGTAGTATAGCTTTTTTTTTCCACTAGGGCTTCTAGCCCTATGTTGTATTCCTCTTATAAAAGGATTGTAGAAATCTTTACCTTTTTGAAATCAATGAGAAGGGATGAGCCTTTCTCACCTTCGTTTTTTTTCATTGTAGTTTCAGCATTAATGTATTTCTCTACTATTAGCAGGACATTGGCCAAAGTTTTTGGTGATTCTAACAACAATGTTAGTTTTAAATAGTACTCATTATCATTGAGTCCATTTGTTAGTAAAGCAACAACAGCCATTTATTCCAGGTCTTTAACCTCTAGAGCTTTATCATTAAAATGCATGATATAGCTTTTTAAAGTTTCATTTTGCCCTTGATGAATGGACATCAGGCTTAGGGTCATTTTCTTTGCTTTTTGGCTATTCATAATCCGGACAAGAACAAGTGGCTGAGCTCCATGAACGTAGTTATTAACCTCGGCTCTAGATTGTTGTATCGGGATCAAGCTGCACCTTTTAACATAGTGGCTAGACTTTTGCACATAAGAGCCTCATCTGCCTCCAACATTATCTTGTTAGTTCTATAAAGTTTCAAATGATTAAACGGATCGAAAGAACCATTGTATGTCTCCAAGGTTGGTATTTTAAATCCTTTGAGAGGCATAGCTCTATCAATTTCTTAAAAAAAGATGGAGTCTCTAAGAACTTGAGCTCATCTTCCAATGCCACTACCTTCATTTTCTATTCTATTTCTATAACTTGTATCTAAACTTCTAAATCTCTATTCAGTTGAAATTCATGATCTATTTGTTTAGATTTTTAGGTTGTGGCATGTGTGGGATTGTGGCGGGAGCAATGATAAGTTAGATTTGTATGTTCTTCTTCTCTGAAGGCTGAGAAGCCTTCCGTTTCTTCATAGCTTGGTTGTCTGACAATGGCTTTTCAGCCAGGTATGACTAAGTTTGACACTTTTGAGACTTATGGTGAGATTATTGTTTGCAGCATCTACTTGAAAGCTTGTATTTTTTCTGTCAAAGTTTGAAATTGTTCCATGGTTAGTTCTGTCTATGATTGAGCAAAAAGACAAATTACTGGCTAAGGTAAGTTTTCACTCCAGTCAGGGTAGCTGCCTTTCCTTCTTTTTGGGTTTTTTTTCTTAATGGCATTATTTTGTGCTAGCGAATACAAAATATCCCCTACCTGGCGACCGACCTAAAGGTACTCTTGTAAATATAGAAATAAAAGATGGTTAAAGGCAAAGGTAGGGGATGTTCTTTGTGTTTGCACTCCAACACGCAAGTTAATAAAAATCAAGTTAATAAGAAAATAAAAAGAAGAGAAAGGTGAGTCAAATGTACCTAACTTCATGGTACCTAAGTCTTCATATTTATAGGTAAACTAAGGAAGACTATAACGAAACAATTATGACAGGGCTGAGCTAACGTGACACTAATCATGTTAGGCTAGCCTAATATGTCATATTAGCATAAATGACAAAGATATCCCTGATTGTCTGTTGAAGGCTTTGAAAGGAAAAAAAATCGCTATACCCTTTTAATCATCAAATACCTTTTAACAATTAGCTAATTATATACTAATACTATGTTAGCATGAATTTTTTTTACAATCATTCAAAAGAATTTAAGATAATTTCTAATTTTTGGCAAGTTAAATATTTTTTACTTTTAACTCTTTTCTCATTCAAGTATTTTTACTTAATTAATTCTAACTTTTTAATAAGTCATTCTCGTCCAATCAACTTCTGACCAAGCAAATCAAAGTCAAAACATTAGAATTTAAAAGAATTTATCTAAATTTATGATTGACATTAAAATCTATAGAAAATTCATGAAATGTGCAGAGTGAAAAGATTGAGAAGATCTTACCTAACGCTTGAAATAAATAGATTTAATCTAATATGTTTGGTGCGCACTACATGAAACACGGATACATCAAGGATAACGTGATATAAGCAAAAAAAAAAAAAAAAAAAAAAAAAAAAAGAAAAAAAACATGCCAATAGCCATTCTAAAGGAGAAAAATAATGTTATTTGTTAAGAATAATTTAATTTTTTTATTTGCTCAGGCGGCTTAATTAAATTCAACGATGAAACTTGACTACCCCACACGATTTATGACTGCCATTTGTATTCATTCAAACTTAAGGAAGTTATTTGCAGCTAATGACATCGCCGATCATTCGAAACTCATGAAAATCATCAGAAAATCATATGTTCACCTCATATGACTGCAAATAACATCGAGTTAGTGACATAACTTAGCACATACAACACAAAAAAAAAAAATTTCTTTTCAAGCTTTCAAGACTCCAGCAATGGAAAGCTCTCAAGATTTGCAATTTTAATAACATTTTTCATAATAAATATAATCAGCAAAAAGAAATAAAAGAAAAACCCAAAATTGTCTTCATTTCTTAATGACCTTTGTTAATCATTCAATAATCATAGCTAATTCAAACATCAAATCAAGAACTTTAATTAAAAAAATAAATAAATGCAAAATTGGATCTTAATTATGTAAGCTTGAATTGATGAAAAATGGTGCAAAATTTCATAAGCATCCATTTTACATTATCAATAAGCACACAATTAACATACACAGACCACAGTCGAGAAACATAATTGCATTGCACCACATGTCAGATTAACTAATTTAGAACGATAAACTACTGTAAAAAATCATTAACTTGATTGTCAATACCATATATAAATTTCCGTACAAATTAAATTTATAAAGATACATAATAAAAAAGTTATAAAAAAAATCATGTCAGGTAATCATTCATATATTGTAATTAATTGTAGAATTTTGATAACTTATTATATTAAAACATTTTCTTTCTAATTTAAAAAAAAAATCCCACCTTTCAAGTAACCTTTAAATTCCACTTACAGAACTAGCAAAATAACACATTTTTTTAGAATATATTAAAAATAAGTAAAATTTAACAAAGATAAATTTAATAAAAAAATTATTCCGAAAGAATAATGTGAGGTAATTAATCGTCGTCCTTGGATTAATGGAAAACTTTGATAACTTATTGTTATATTAAAAGAAAATTGTTATACTATGAGAATCAACACGGAAGAACCATTGCATTGCGTTCATATTTGTACATGGGCATTTGTTAAATACAAAAGAGATCCGCTTTGGAACAAAATGTTCAACTCTTGCATGTAATCTCAAAGGCTTTTTCTCTATAATTTACAAGGCTTGTACCACAATCTCGGTTTCAACAAACACTACAATAATGCTACAGAAATATTTCAAGTTAGATTAAATATCGAACCGTGGCATGCCGGAACATAGTATCACTTGTCCATTTTATGTATTTGCAGGTTTACAACCAGTCTGCCCCAATCTTGCTTGACATTGGCTTCGAGGATGGGTCATCTGCAACTTTGGCAAGTGATCGATACTGCAATTTAACACTCTCTGCATTGTCCAACGTCTTCACAACATACCTGCAAATGAGAAGTGTAATAAGCAAGAAGAACCATGTTTCACATTTGCCTTAACAAGATAATTTCACAGACTTGGGCTGAAATGTTTTAGTGTAATACACAAACAGATGACAACACCACTAACGTGATTCCCTGTCCGTGGTGCTGTCCGCTCTATCTTACTATGAACAACCCAAGTACCAAAGCATGCTCCCAACTAATACTGTTCCAGATTTTGCAAATTGATACACATCTTTTATCTTGGCAGAGGAATATAAGTTGATTCAAGATTTTGGAACCATTGACAGAAAGTGAGAGAATCCAGCAAGAAAAAAGAAAATGCAGGTCTTTCAAGAAGTAAATGGCATAAATGTAGAATCCTATTTTAATAACACATCTATGTAATCCATTCTCAATGGAAGAGGAAAGAAGTTAGTGACTAACCATCCATTCAAACATTGTGTAGTTACAACAGCCTCACGTCCAACAAAGCGCTGTGGTGTCCTCTTGTTTCCCTGTATCAATCTATCTCCAGTCACCAAATTTGACCATCTAAAACAGGCGTTAAAGATGGGATTTCACGAGACATACCTTTATGATAACCCGGTCAGTCACAGCAAACGGAAACTGGACACCTCTACCCCTTGAAGGATCCATGATATTTGACTCACCGTAGCTACTCTTATCCTACATGAACAAACAAGTAAAAGAAAGAGTTATGGATGGCACCAACAACCACAACTTGCCAAGTATGAAGCAAGATAATTAAAATGCATGAAGCACTGTAAACTAACAGAATGCAAAGAGAATCTTGAAAGATAGTTCTTTAGAAAGCTTTACACCAAAAGGAGTTATGAAAAAAAAGAAACCTGGTCAAATCTCTCTCTCCTCCTTTTAGGTGAGCGGTAGAACTGTAACTCTTCCTCCCTACGAAATGCCTGCACTGCAGCTCGGAGAGCTGCTCATGAACATCAACAAAGAGAAAACAAATAAATATGTCCATAGAATAGAAAAAATACATAGCACAGGCCATAAATGCTTTCTGCACTATGAAAATGTTTAATAGCCCTGCCAATTACAACTTTGTAATATCACCATGCGTTTGCTCCTTCTTCCAAATTATATCAAATACCATCCAAAACTATATAGACAACCACTGAACATCCAGGAATCCTAGGTTTTATTGACAAATCTTTTCATGTAATACATGTGAGACAGGGATAAACATAGACATCCAAGAAAAATAGAAGCATAAAAACTGGCAACCTGGGAAATGGTGAAAGAAACACAAAGATGGGGTGCCCAACATCAATAGGATACTGATCTATGGATATCATTGCATGGAAATATGAGCAAATTACATTGATAGTTCACAAAACTATAACCAAGATTCAAAATCAAAGGGGATGAAATTTTACTTTGAAATGTAAGAATGTTACTTACAAAGATTTGGAGCCACCAACTCCTCTGAAACTGACTGCGAACAAGTGTAGCAAGCTTTCTGATAATGCATTATAAATCACAATTAATATACAGTTACAACCATTGTTAACAAATGGCTGGGTGCAGGCTGACCAAGCAGTTTCAATGCAAAAACTAGTTAAATAATCAGAAAAAAAAAATGAATGCTACATATATATATATATATATATATATAAAACCTCATTCAACAGTGGTTAAAGGAAAAGAATATGTACAGGCACCTCATAATAAAGCTTGTGAAATGCAATACATAGGAGATAAATTCAAATGCCCATTATCTATCACAAAATCAGATTGCAAGGTCAATCTTGATATTCTTCAGGTCAAAGGATTATAAAGCATCTACAGCATCCACTACGTTAGATTGAGATGATAGAAGTTTCAGTAGCTGATTGTTACACGTTCCCAGCTAAAAGGAAGAAGTTCAACTAGAAAATAAAAGTTAAGCCGAAAGGATTTAAACCATGGCAGGTAATTCACTCAATACAAATGCTTAGGAATGATGAGTATGATGCAGGAAGAAAAAAGTCACCATACACACGGTACATCAAAAAACCATGGCTCACATAAATGCTCCATATACACCCATCTTGCCCATGTTACAGTACACTTATGGGAGGTGATATTATTATACTGGTGAAAAGACTAAAAGTTCATTTTTTTGAAAGAAAATAATAACCCTGACAACAAATTATTACAATAAGCACAAGCTTGGCAAAATGGTACACTTATGCACGGGCTCTTTTTCCAAAATGGTAAAAAGCAGTGTATCACCAAGTATATAATCACTTTAATGAAGTAATCAATCTCAAATTATACCAATATGCCAAGCCTGATATTTTTAGGCTAAATTGCTTTGAGCTGATTGTCACAGACTGAGATGGCAGACTTGCAAATTATGGATCAGCATGCACGTTCAGCTAAAATGGTAGAACTCAACTAGCAAATAAAGAACACAAAGATTGAAAATTGTCTAGCTTAGAACTAAGCCCATGATCTATAATACACCAGGATACAAGACTTTGACCACAAGCAGGACCAAAAGGCATTGCTCAATTATATTAGTAACAAAAGTACCAACTTCACTAAAGTGACAATGCACTTATGGGGAAGTCCAACTATTTTGCTTGTGAAAATAAACCAGTTCACAGAATAGAAAGAACTTAATCAATATGATTATATAACTAAAGCAATGTGCATCTATACATCATAGAACACATCCATAAATAGCAAATACTGGAGTTAAACTCATCATTTTTAGTGATTCAAGTCATCCATTGGCCAATACATCATTCTTCAAAGCATGCTACAATCTTCATCAAGCACTAAGCATCATACTAATGAGAGAATATAAGAAATAGGTTTCATCAAGAACTCACCATTCTAAGAACATGCTGTATTCCACCAGCACCAAAGGAATGTCCACAAGGTAATATCATCGCATCATCCATGAGAGATCCCCTGAAATTTTAAAAAAAGTAAAAAGACAAATGGCAGAAACATCAGTCCAACTTTTCTTTTTTCCTTCTTTCTATAAGTAGAAGTATTCCTTGATAAGTAAGGACTAAACATCATACGGACCAGACAAAAAAAAAATACAGAGTGATAAGTAATGACCATACATCAATGGAGCAACCAAAAAATACAGGGAGAGATGAGACCAAATCTTTTAGCAGTAAAAATCATTTTAAATGGTCTCGGATAAAAGGAAGCATATTTCTCCACAGTCCTACTTGTTCCCTAGCCTTGTAGCATAGCATACATAACTTGCTGCAGCAACTTATACTACTAATATCAACTTTCCTGAACCTCATAATCTCAGCTGAAGCTCACTAGTTTGTAAAATTCACAACTACGTGAACTAGCAGTTAACATTGCGTATTAATACATAAATTATCACCAAAATTCAACATAAAGGAGCAGAAATAAAAAAAATTACTAATTATTCATTCAACAATTAAATTAAAATTACTTACGTGAAAGGGTCGGATAAAATGACCCGCAAGGAATCACCAGACTCGCTCGAAAATGAAACATCTTTCCTCCCACTAAACCCACATCCACCACCACCATTCTCCACCACAATATCCTTCTGCCCATTGCCACCACCACTACCACCAGACCCTTCTCCACCTTGCAAATACTGCGTGTAATAAATATCCCCATCTGGATCCGCAATCGTCACCGCGTTTGGATAATTATTACTCTGTCTCACTCCTTGCCCCACACAACTCCCTCCTTCTTTCACCACCAATTCCCTGCAGCTCCCTCCCGCTTTCGAACAATAATTATAAAAAAAAAAATCAACAAAATTTCTTTTTATATATAGAAATCAATAAGCTTTCTAAAAGATAGAATCAATGACAAATAACAGAAATAACAGAAAACTAACCAAAGGAGAGTTTTGCTTTTCCGTTTCCCATTTTTTCGGGATTTCCACTTGCATTATTTACAGTCTCATTTCCACTATTATTTTTATTATTGTGATTATTATTATTTTCATCACCATCGTCATCATCGGCATCATCATCCTCGTCTTCCTCTTCGTCCACGTCGTTTCCGTCTGATTCGTCGTCACCACTGTTAGTGGAGCCACCTACAGCACTGTTTCCCCAATTCCGATGGCGATGATGGGGAGGGTCTCGATGGTCTGTGGAGACGGCAGCGGCGGTGGAGTAGATGTTGGAGGAGCGAAATTCGGGGGTTTGCGAGGGAGGGAAAGAGAACATCTTGTCGTCGATGAAGCCGGTGAGTTCTCGGGTTTTGGGACAGGGTCGGGCGGTTGTGGCTGGTCCGCAATTAAAGGCCCTTATTGGGTCGTCTTGGAAGACGTTGAGCCCGTTTTGGAGGGAGATTTCGTCGGAGGACATGGCTAACTAGGGGAAATTTTGCATCTTTTGAGGGGTAAAATTGGGAATTTGAGGAATCAAATTTAGGGATTTCCCGAAGAGCGGAGCAGTAGGGTTTTAGATTTTTCTTTCACAGCTCACATTTTGGGGAAGGAGAATGGAAAGAACTGAATTCGTATCAGAATGGAACGACGTCATTTCACCCAACAGGTTGAACAGGTGTCACAATTTCAGTGGCTAACCTTAGGAAAAGTATCTAAGAAGCTGTAAGTTTTGCCCCCGCATGTAATAGCTTGGTCGGTACGCTAGCTGGGACAGAAAAAGCGGGTCCCCCCATCCGGCCCCGGTACTAGAGAATATTTTAGATTCCTTAGAAAACGATGTCGTTTAAATTAAAAACATTTTCTAAGATTCTGCCACGTTGGCGAAGAAGACAGAAGTCAACGGGAAAAGCCAACAGAGATTTAGAAGAAAATGTTTGAAATTTGAGAAAGCTTTAAAGATAGACCAAGAAAAAACGAACAAAAATGAAATTTAACAATTAAAATCAAATGAGGAATGTTATTGATTTTGGTCTGAGGTTTGAACCTCTGCCCGTTACTAAGTATGGAACACGGGAATGAGTTAAAGTTATAGGTTCATAATTCGATTTTAATCGATTTGCGTGAACCGACTTAATTTGATTATCAAAAATAATTTTTAAAATATTTTTATTTTTAATTTATTTGATTTGAAAATCCAATTAATTGAAAAAATTAAAAATTTAATCGAAATATTATATAATTTATAGATAAAACTAAAAATATATAAAATTATTCATTTTATTTTAAATTATTAAAATTTTTAACTTAATATTTTGATATCTAAACTTTTTTATTAAATAATTTTATTTAATTTATTTCACGTATAAGAAAATAAAAATTTAAATATAATTTAATTTAATATATTTTATTTTTTGATTAATCCAAAATATAAACCGAACAAATAAATTAATTTTAGTTAGTTAATTTTTTAAAATTTAAAAATTTAATTCCATTAATAAAAATAATATAATATAATTTTAATTAATTTAATTTTAAATAATTTAATTTAAAATTAATTAAACCGACTTAACAAACACCTTAGTTAAAAGAAACTATTGGACGTCAAGTGGCAAAGGTTGGGAACAACAATATTGAAAATGCCAGTGTTCTAACTAGTCAAATATATGATTTAGATTGCAAAAGCAAGCTTCAAACATTGAGCCATTGGCCTTTGGTTTGAGTCTTTTATCTCAACAGGGCTTTTATTTCTAACAGCATTATTAATAGTTAGCTCCTAGTTCTGCTGGAAGCTTGGTTTATGACAGTTCGAACCAAAAACTTTACCCCATAAAAATTAAAAAAAAAAAAAAAAAGTAAAAGAAAAACCTTGGTTGCTGAATCATTGACTTGCTTTAGGCCTCTCGTCCAACTCTGCCATCAAGCTCCAATATTGTTCTCCTGGAAAGTAGGAAAAAAAATGCAAGGGCAAGGCTGCTTTGAACATGTTAACAATCTGCATGCATGAGACTGCATCAGTGGGTATCTGTTGGGAGGGGTTAGGGATGCATTGTCCCTCCATGCACCAACCCAACATCATAAACTTAAAAACCTCCACTGCTATGTGCTTGGCAAAAGTTTTGAGTGCTATCATTTTACCCCTCAATAAAGTTGAGGAATTATAAGCATATTCATTTCCTAATAAACAAACCCTCTAGTGCAGATTTCTTCCATGGCACTTTCACCTCAATAATGCTTCTCTTCTTTGTATACATATATACTGTATATATTCTTCCATAGAGTCTTCAAGATATAGTTTTTATATCATATCATCATATTTTGTTTAAAATTACCAGGTGCACTAACAAATATATATTTGCAGACATGGTTGGCAAAATATAAAAGGAGAGCTTCTATTTCAAGACAATCAAATGGTGATAAGCTGTTTCCACACCTTCAACATCAACATCTTAAAGACATTACCAACTCTCTACTTCTTTAATTCTACTTTTTCACTTTTCCCAAAGTGTTGCATTATTCTGTTCCAGCACTAAAGACTGATTTGGCTCAGAGTGGGGGCTAGGAATCTATGATAGTCTTCAGTCTCTTGAGTCACTTTTGACTTTGTAAAATTTTGTATTTTAATGTCTTCATCCTTTGCTATCATTGAAAACTCATGACTTTGGTATGTGGAACAAGCATTTCTTATCAAGTCATGAAAACTCAGATTTGCCCTTCGCTATATTCCTTTGAAATCCCACCAGGGTGAACTTTCAGCTACAAGGTTTTTTACAGACATTTGCTACACCATTATCTCAGAATAATTAGCCATAGACAAGAAAATGAACAAGGAAGTTTACCTAAGAGTCCACAAGATGTACAGACACATTAACTGAAATACATTATGCCTGGTCCTGTGCAATGGAACAGAGTTCAGTTCCCTGCCCAATTTGGCTCCTGGCTATTATATCAGAACCAAATGCTACTATCAGTTGATTATAAGGAAACAATGCCAATGAAAAAAAATGCAAAAGACAGCGGATTAGTAACTGGGTAACAATATCCAAAGGGGTCCCAAAATGGAACCCGGTGAAAAGGAATCCGGCAACCTAACTATAACATAGAGAAGAAATCACAAAGATAAACTGAAAAATCAAAAAGTGAAGAAACAAATACAACAAAAGGGAATAAAAAGATTCCAACAAACAAATATTTCTTCTCTTTGATCAAATGAACAAACCGGATTCTTCTTCGCCGGGTAACCCCTTATAATCATTCAATTTCTTATAGCATTAGTTAAACTCATCCCAAATCCTCTTGGCATTCTGAGGGGCATCTGATCAACTCCAATATTTTAATTACCTCTCCCATATCCGGCCGATTTGATGGTACTTGTGACGTGCAGATTAAGCCTAGTTTCATCACTGGAATTGCCTCCTCAGCCGGGAATTTTCCTTGCATCCTTCCATCGACACAATCTACCACCCTGCCTTCTTCCAATGCTCCTCGAACCACGTCACAAAGCACCACTACATCATCTTCCATATACTGAACAGGCCTCTTCCCAGTAACCACTTCCAAAACCAAAACACCAAATCCATACACATCACATTTCTCAGTTATTTTCACAGCTCGGCAGGCAAACTCAGGTGCCATGTAGCCAAGTGCACTCTGAATTTTGCTGCTTAAAATAAAGCGGTCTAGCATAGGTAACAACCTCGCTAGGCCAAAATCTCCCACTTTAGGTTCGCCTGAACCATCAATGAGGACATTGCTCGACTTTATATTGTAGTGAATAATGTTTGATTGGTGCAAGTGAGCCAAGCTTTTTGCTGTCCCTAAAATGATACTGAACCTGTGATTCCATGAAAGATAATTTACACCTGATCCTTCATGGAGATGTTTGTACAGACTTCCACCAGACACAAATTCAGAAATGAGAAGTTGCAGTGATGGAGTCCAGTAGTAGCCCTCAAGTGCCACAAGATTAGGGTGCCTTATTTTCCCCAGTTTCTTAACTTCCCTTTCAAATTCGTCTTGTGACTTGACAAGACTTGAGACAGTGAGCTTCTTGATTGCCACTGAGCGCCCATCTTGCAAAACTGTTCGGTACACTGATCCAAACCCACCACGGCCAAGTTCACAATCCTTGTTGAGCAGAGCATGTGCTCCTGTGCGACAGTCAAGCTCACCGGAAAACATGACAAGTTTGCCAGAATTGGCATCTGTAGTAGGGGAATGGCTAAAGTCATCCCCGGCAGAAAAAGTGAGGGCTGCTGCAGTCCGGGATGTTGATGACCTGACACGGAGATTAAGGACAGTAATGGCAAGGACTCCAACAACAATGACAGCAGCTGCACTAATAGCAACAAGGGCAGAGATACTGAGAATTATCCTTTTATGACCTACATTCGTAGGTAAATCACCAGAAATGGAATCAGAAGAAGAGTTAGGATTTAGGACGATGGGTTTAGGGAGAACTGCAGGGCAAGATCTGTTAACTACAGCGCCACAAAGTGAGGGGTTGTAAGAGACAGCCGTAGGTGATATGGTGTTAAAAAATCCACCAGCAGGCAGTTCTCCTTGTAAATTGTTGTGGGAAACGTTGAAGGATAAGAGATGGGGAAGATTGGCCAGCTGCTTGGGTAGGGTTCCTACAAGGCTGTTGAAAGACAAGTCCACCTTCTGTAGGTTGCTCAGCTTTCCAATTTCAGCAGGAATTGGGCCACTCAGGTTGTTTTGCGATATGATCCTACCCAATTCAACAACAAAAGAAAATAAAACAGAAAGTTAGAATGATGTACTACCTGCTTTCACCAATAAGCATTAAAAAATTTTAAGTAAAATTGATGGAATATTGAATATTAAAGCATCCAATGACAAGAAATTTTGACATTCTCCTGTTTCTAGATTTAGACGTAAATATATTTCTGAAGCCTGATGTCAAGGAATTCAAACTTATTAAGTTCTTAAGTAGCACCAAACTCTACAATCACAAAGGAAAAAGGACCCAGCAAATAACATGCAGTAATAAAATTCTCGCATGGGTGTGTCATTTAGAAAATGTATCTGCACGTTAAGATATCACTGTGGTAAAAGCTTTCAACGTGTTTTCCACATCAAACATCAACAAAAATCCAATGCAACAGAAATCCAGAGAACAATGGAGGTTTCAAATTTAAAGTAATTATGTTAATGAAACATAATCCAGAACTCATACAACCTTTGAGCAAATAGATCAAAGTTCACCCAACAAAAGCTCATCTTGGCCTCAAGGGTAAATTCAATGATTATTTATCAAGATATCAAGGAACTATTTGAGTATAATAGCAGGCTCTAAGGATTAGACAAACCACAAATTGAGCTAACTACATGTAGATCAAAGCAGACAGCCCACTTAAAATTAAAGGAGAAGCTAAAAGCATAAATCAAATTCAAGACAAGAAGAAATTTACAAAGAGGTTAGCAAAGTGCAGTTCCCAATTGAAGTAGGAATTTTTCCATCTAGGAAGTTTGAATTAAGCCTCAGATCCTTCAAGGAGTAAGCGCCTCCAATTTCCATAGGAATGCTTCCATCAAGCTGATTTTGACTCAAATCAAGAACATCCAAAGCCTTCAATTCTCCAACAGCTCCTGGAACAGGGCCAATGAGAGAGTTCCTTGACAGATTCAAGAACTGCAAGCTGCGTAAAAACCCAATATCAGATGTTATTTCCCCAGAAAACGAATTGTGAGATAAATCCAAGACTTCAATCTTTTTAAGGGATGTTCCTGGTGAAGTTGAAACGGGATTATTCACATTTGCACCAAGCTTATTCTCTGAAAGTGAAACTTGATTCAAACCCGATTTGAAAATGCATCCAGGAAGATCACCAGTCAACGAATTCTGGCTAAAATTCAATGCCAAAAGATTCACATTGTTTTCCATAGAAGCGGGCAAGCTTCCAGTTAAACCATTAGCAAAGAAATTTAACACCTTCAAAAACTTAAGGTTTCCTATAGAATCAGGAACCTGACCAGAAAATTTATTCACAGAGAAATCCAA